GGGGGGGGGGGGGGGGGGGGGGGGGGGGGGGGGGGGGGGGGGGGGGGGGGGGGGGGGGGGGGGGGGGGGGGTGCGCAGTGCAACAAGAACAAAACGAAATCAGTAGTGTTTTCTTGCGCACAAGTAGATGCTTGCAGCAAAGACAGGTAGCAGCAGAAAAAACGACAAGAGAGTGGCGTCGTTAACTTATGCCGCAAAAAATATACGGGGACTGTGCTTACCGCTGCTGCCGGCGACCCCGAGTTGTGAGGGGAAGCGGAGGCGGCGGCGGCGTTGGCCCTCAAGGTGGTCTTCTTGAGCTCCGCCAGGCCGCGGAAGGCGTCGGTGAAGGAGAGCACCAGGGCGTCCCCCAGCCGGCCTTCAACGGAAGAAGGGAGGCACTATCGTAACAGCAGCAGTCGCGGTTGGAGGACAAACGGAAGCAGTAGGAAGTGTTGGTCATCATCGGCGTCGTCATCGCCGTTGAAAATAATTCGGTCGTTGCTATAGTTGATGCAGGTTGTTCTCATCGTTGTCTATTTCTCTTGTTGGTTACAATTGTTGGCTTGAGGTGGTTGCATAGACAACGGCGCGGCTGGTACACAAAACGTCGTATCAACTTTCGTGACCATTCGCCCCGCTCCCTGTTACTGGACCCGCGACCAGTCTCTCTCTACAGCAAGGCTCGGCCGGATAGGCCGATCACTCAAGGAATACCTTCAGTGGTGACGAACGAAGCTCGAACACAGATGCAAAAAAATAAACAAGGGAAGAACAATACCCGACTATGTGCCGGGTTCGATTCAGAGCTGCTTCTCAAGTTGCGGTGGTGCTTCAGATGCGCGCTTGCATCGATGAACGAACCGGGGACATAGCCTTCGCGCACACGGGTTAAACAAAACTCACAACCGCCAGTCCCTCAAAACTGGACAAGCCTGGCCTTTGAAAAAACAACAATAAAGAAAGAGGGGATGGACGCCTCAAACAAAAACGGGGCGCCTCCACGGCCTTGAAAGTAAGAACAAAATGAAACATTTTCCCACCTCCCGCAGCTGATTGAATGACGTCAGCACCAGGTTCAGCAGCCGCGCCACCGGCGGGAACGCCATCAGGGACCGAGGAGGGGGCGGGATCCCCCCGTCCCCCGCGCACAGCGCCGCCCTCCTTTCTGCCTCGGCAGCGGCAGCGGCAGCGCCGCTCGTGCCGTGTCCGTTGGCAGGGCCGCCACGGGACGTTGCGATCGTCGATCTGTCCGGGACGTGGAGGAGGGAGGCACCGTTGCCTCCAGCAGCCTCGATGGCTGTCGCGTGGATAAGGGGATCAGCGGATAGGGGGCGGCGTGAAAAAAAAAACACTAGCGGCGTGAAAAAACACTATAATAGCGGCTGAAAACTACGAAGGGCGTGAAAAAAAACTATGGCAGAAGCGTGAAACCCACTGTTAGTGGCGTGAACTGAACGCTCGCCATGATATATTATTCCATGTCCAGACCCTCGTGCTTCTGGGTATTATGCATTCTGTCCGGCCAAGCCAAGTCATCGGAAAACCCAAGCGGTAGGGAGTCCGCACGAGCTCACACCGAAGACGGCACATTCAAGGCATGCACAGCAGCGACGAAGGCGGCGAGATTTCATTGTACCGGCAACATCCCGGAGAGTCACCAGGAACTCGGCGGACGCCGTCGCCCACTGCGCCGCCGCCGCGCCGCTGACCCTCTCTTCGAAAACTGGCACCAGCAACCCCCGGAAGTCCGTGCCCAGCCTCCCCATGCTCGCCCCGAAGAACATGCACTGGAACGCACCGCCACCCGCGGGGAACAACGGCAAGGGCAGCGGAAAGAGACAAAAAACAAAATTAGTGCATTAAAAGTGAGGAGAGGCGGGGGGCAACGTGCACTCGGACACAGATGCGGCTGAGTGTTTTTTTTTTTTGTTATTGTTGTGGCACTAAAAAATGTGACAGTAGTTTTGAAGAGCAACCACATAATCAGAAGACAGTAGCAGCAAAAGCAGCACCAGTTTTGAAGAGCAACCACATACCTACACCCAAAAAAAGCAACCACAACAACTGCAGCAGCACCAAACAACAACAAATACCACACACACAAACCTCTTCCAAGAGGCTCCTCAGCAAACTTCCATCCTCGACGAGGGGTAGAAGGCCCTTCAGCTGCTCCACAAACGCGCTAACTCTCCGGAGCAGCCACAGCGACAAGATATCCCCGCTGGTTTCCCCAACACAGCAGATGGAATTCGGTGACGGAAATTCGGGTGGTGGTGGCAGGCGGGGGGGGGGGGGGGGGGGG